CTCTCTCCCGGATTCCCTTTCTCTACTGCTACAGCTTCTGTTTTGCGTGATTCCCCACTTCACCATCCCAGTGCCCCACAGACTACAGTAACTGGTTTCCTACGCTCTCTTCTGAATTTTAAAATAAAGTGAATTTCTCAAAAATAAAAACACCACCAAGAGTGATAGATCAAGTGAGGCAGAAGAAAGTGCCCTGGGCAGGGAGCAGCGGTGTGAGGGCTAAGCAGGGTCACCAGGCCCGCCATGCCCAGGCCTTCGCCCGCCTGCCTTGGCTGTGCAGTGCTGTCTTCCCCAGCCCAGATTTCCAGCTTGTCTTGGACACTTTGGTTTCAAGAGCCCATTGTTCCTTCTGCCATTCCTGCTTGGAACTCCTCTGTTGCACCCCACACTGCCCCCCCAAAAAAAGTTGAGGGGAACTTGTTGCTGTTGCTGTTGTTGAGCCAATTAAGGACAAATAAAAATGCTTATGTAGCTGTTAATTTTCACTGAAAATGAAAGTGGCTTTATTTAGCACTGTGGTGGAAAACATTCTTACCATTTAAGATTTGTTTCTTGAATATAAAAATACCATTGAGAAAGTCAGCCCCACATTTTTAACCATGCAAATGTTATTAATATCTGGGTATACTGAAAAATAACAACAATGCAACTTTCCAGTTTTGCATCCTAAAATTAAATGGGACTACACAGCGGCTACTAGGTCGTACTGGAGAAAATCAAACTGCTTTACCGCTCAACCTTCCCACCCCGGAGGCCTCTGAGCCCTCTATGTGAATTAATCTGGTCTGTGGACTGGCTCCACCAGGAATACCTGCAAGACCAATGTGCCCACGGCCCCTCCAGGTCTGACTCAAGTTCACGTCTGCCCCCAGATTGCCTGCCCTCCCAAGCTCCCGGCCTTCTTCCTCTGAATTCCAAAATCACTTTCAAACCTCCTACATATTCTATCTCACGTATCCACTCACCTCCTCCTGAACGCTAACTGAGCAAGGGAAGGATACCAGCTGCTGCTTCCCCACTACACTAGAATATTAAACACGCTTTTACCAAACCAATAGTTCCTTGAAGTCAAGGAGATTGTTGACTGATGGAAATAACAATAGGAGTTCACCCATCCATTAAATGTAGATTGTTCATGGATTTCTTTTTAAGAACATAATATACTGACTAGAGGATGTGATTTAAAACCTTTAACTCAACAGTGTAGATATTTCTTTCTTTTAAGAACTGTCAGGCAAATTATCTATTGCAGCGTAGACAAGAAGTGCAGCATTGACACACTGGCATCAACAAACTTCATATATAAAAAGTTGGAAACCAAGATACTGCAACTGCCTTCGGTAACTGCAACGCAAGTCAAAGGAAAAGCAGCTTATTTACTTTGAACTCTCCCTCCAGTAGTGTGTCTAAATGAGACTTAAAGAGCTGTTTAAAAATAACTAGGAGGGCCAGATTCTGGGGAGAAAAAATACATAAAGCATACAGATGAATCTGTTTCTCTAAATTGGCTGTTGAGTTTGGGCTGTGTTATTTCCTGCTTCAATCGGTTTCCTGCAATTTGTTTAAGCTGCCAAATACTTAGTGATCTCAGTGATATACTTAACACAAATCGACAAATCTTCTTTATTATTCACAATGACAAGAAATTTACAGGGCAACCTGAACAGTGAGGGTAATAACAATAGTGAGTTCATTTGTCTTTTTTTCCAGCTTCATCATTTTCATCTGGTGACTAGTAATTTAGGAAACCAACAAATAATATCCTCATGTCACTTCCTGCCTGCTTTTTTTCCCACTGATTTGGGGGCAGTTTCCTTGGCTTTAGGTAGGTTCTGACCCAAGCCAGAAAAACCAAAGAACCAGAATGGAAAGGAAAAAAAAAATCCATATCCAACATTAATTCTTAAAATCAAAAGATGTGAGGTGGTAATGCTAAGCTAAATTTCTAACTATAACCTTAGAATGGCACATCCCGATTACCAGTCTTTAAAAAAAATCCTGATATAAAAGCAAACCAAAGAAGTAGTTGAGAGGACAATGTAAGACAACAAAAAATGTGAGGCAGCAAGGACACAGTTAAGTTCTTTAGAGCGCATTCATTTATTAAAGTGGCATTACAAGCTGTCGCATGTCACACGGCAGCGCCACATGCAAATACTTACTGCAACGACTCAGTGATCTGGCTCAAGGTTTGGCAAAAAAATAATCTCAGTCAAGTCTTCAGAGGGACTCACTTTCTTCCAGCATAAATTACATTCTCAAAACCATCTATCTGACAAAACTTAAGTCCCTGAGCACAGAACCCTACGGTTCTCTGTCCACCAACTACACGGCCCTGTGTTCACACACACGAAAAGCCTCAGGCTGTTCTGAATTAGGGTCTGGCAGAAGAAAGGCTCTTAATAAATATGAAAAATTCAACTCACACTTAATATATAACTTACCTGACACTGAAAAATGTAGAAAAGGCTGGTGACAGTTTTATCAATACATTTTTGTAGGCTTGAAAAATTATTTCATAACACATCTGAATTCTAAGTCTTAAGAAATCTATTACTGAGTACTAACTAAAACTCGTAAAAGAGACTCAGAAGAGAATGTCACTTCCTAGGTTTCTATTTCCATAAATAAAACTTTTTCATTTTAATAAAAATAAATCTTTCTTGGGCCCTCCCTGCTGGCACAGTGGGTTAAAGCATAACACTAAGAAGCTAAAGCCACTTCAGCATGAGTTTGATCCCTGCCCTGGAGGTGACCCACATGGCGGGCAGACCTCTCCTGACCCACTCTCTGCTCCCCTCTGCAGTGTACTTCATCAATCTGCCTGTTCTGCTCCCCACTCTGTCTCTGGTGAATTCTCTCACCGCCCCTGCACCTGTGGCCGGTACCCCAGTTCCGTATGCATAAACAAATAAATCTTTAAAAAAATCTTTCTTAATTCACAACACAATCATGATCGACTTGCATTCTTACAAAAAAGGTAAGATCATTTCCAAAGGGCCTGGGTTGCGATATGGAAGGAAAACATATGCAGGGAGACTGGCGGAGCATTCTTCACGACATGGGTCAGAAAAAGCCAGTGATCTGCAGCACACAGAACACAGCACAACCCGGTTCCAGGCCCCCCCCCCCCCCCCCCCAACCCGGAGTGTCAGGAGCCAGTGCCGAGAACACGTGGGTGAGGAGGCTGGGCTGCAGGCAGTACACCTCAGGGAGAGAGTTCCTCGTTCCCACTGCTAGCAGCTCTGCAGGGAGCTACGGTGTGAGAAGGCAAGACTCAAAAACGCACAGAGCCCTCTGGCCCCACAAGCTCAGCCACCACATCATTGACCAAGCACGTGATGCCCAGGACTGGAGCTTTCCATGAGAAAGTGTCTGCATCTGTGCTGTTCAGAATGGCAGCCCCCGGCCACGTGGGGTGACTGAGCAGACAAATATGAACGGGGCAAATGAAGAGCTGAAAAGTTTTATTTCATTTTAATTAAGTTTAAGTCCTAACGGCCCCACGTGACTAGTGGCTTCTACCTTGACCGCCAAAACACAAGTAGATTCAAAGAGCTGTCAGTGCCCAGCCTGGCCCTACGCCGGAGTCCTCAGTCATGTCAGACCGAGAAAGGGGAAGGAAGGTTCCCAGACAAGGTAAGAGATGCAGGTTATCTGGAAGGAACTGTAGCCTGGAGTGGAACAGGAGAGCAGCACATTCAGACCTGCTTAGAGGTGCAGGTAACCAGGCGAGTTAATAATCTAATGTCAGGAAAGAAAGCAGGCCTCAGGCTCCGGCCTAGACTATGCCGCTTACTGGGTCAGATGCAGAGCAGCAGCAAGTCGGGAAGAATAAAAATAAAAAAGCTTGTTTTGACTAAGTTCAGCTGATAACCACTAAGTGGAGATTTCAAGGAGGCGGTTGTCTAGTTTGATGTTCAAACCATAAAATGGGAGGAATACGCAATGGCCATCAGCAAAGAAGACTAGACTGAGGCTGCAAGTCAGGGAGGAGGAAAACCAAGAGTGAGGCCCATAACAAAGAAAATTGTTCTACTAAAGGAGACGTTTCAAAAGGGCAAGAACTAGTTCTTACTTACCTCTGCGATAAACATATCAAAAGCTCAAGTTCTGGCTACCGAGGTGGTTACTAAAAGGGTCACTGCTATGAACGGCACTTGGGTGGCCCCTCATCTCTCTCACTGTGCTGAGCAGTCCGGAGGCACACTTACACACAGACTCTTTCTAACAGGCTGAAAATTCCTGTGGAGTCAAGATTAATCAACCCCGTTATTTCCTCATTGCCTTCTCACCAATGAACAGCACATGTCCATCCATCACACTGGGCAGCTTTCTCCATGTGTCTCCATACTTAGAGCACCTGCTGTGCCAGATACATATGGGTGCTCAACCAGTAAGTGAGGAACGAAGAAGTGAGTGAGTGAGGTTGGGACAGAAAAGAAGGGAAGCTGGCTCTTGTCTCCTATCCAGGGTCTAAAGATGAGCTTTAAGAAGGCCCAAGGATTTCATCTCAAGTCAGTCTTCATCAATAATTAAGACTGACTGTGAAAGTATAAACTTTTTTTCATTCCCATTAGAAAACAAAGTCATTAGTGCTATTTCACGATTTGGAAATACTCAGTATTTTCTAGGTTCAATCTTTTTCTACATAAATATTTACTCCTATATCTCCACCCCCATAATTCATCCATTACACACATACACACACACACACACACACACACACACACACACGACATGAAGTGACTTTCCCAAGAGTAATAGGGGATTTAGGAGCTGAATGAAAAAAAATAAATTCCAAAGACTGTAAGCAAATTCATTTGCCCCCTTTATGCAAAATGGAGTTTTTAAAAGAAACCCTGATACCGATTTCTAGTCCTCATAAGAAGCCAGACATCCAAATAACAAAAGATAGAGGTGCAGAAAAACTTAACTATCAAGTGAACTTTTACCAGTTAGAATTTTTCTACAAACTCAAAATTAAAATTCTGAAATACCTGAGGCACCATAAGCACCAGAATACCGCTGAGACTTCGAACCAGATGGAGAGGTTTCCTTCATACGATCAATCACATTTTCTGAAAGCTGAAAAAGCAACATCAAAATAAAATCAATTCTAAAAGAATAAGAAAGCAGTACAATGGCTTCCTAGCAATTTAGTCATCCACGTCAATATGTATAACAAATGGCCCAAAGAAGTCAGGCAACATTGAATAGCTATAAAACTATTAAAAAAGCAAGTTAGAAGAGTTTCAAGATTTTTTTTTTTAAAGATTTATTTATTCGTGCATACAGAACTGGGGTACAGGCCAGAGGCTCAGGGGCAGCGAGAGGCTTCACCAGAGACAAGAGTGGGGAACAGAACTGGCAGATCAATGAAGTACACTGCTGAGGGGAACAGCGGGCAGGTCAGGAGACCATGCCATGTGGTCACTTCCGGGGCAGGCGGGAATCAAACTCATGCTGCAGTGGCTTTAGCCTCTTAGTGCTGTGCTTTAACCCACTGCGCCACCAGGGAGGGCCTCAAGATTTTAAGATGCACTACTTTTTCATTTCTTCCAATGCATTAATTGCTCATTATAAATAACTCTACACATCTTATTCTGTACACTTACTTGGAATCTCTGAGACAGTGTAGACCATCAGCACTCTTTTAACTTTCTCTCCTAGCCCTACAACATAATTTAGGCATGCAACAAGCCTTAGCTCCTTCCTCTCCTCCAGTCCCAAAGGAGATGGTGTCCCTCCCTCCCTCCTCTTAGGAGTTAATCATGATCACCCCTTGAGCAGATTTTATTATGTCCCAAGTCTGTGCCAGTACCTAGCCTAGACTCGGGGTTCCCTGTCACCCAGTTGCTCAGAGTAGAACACAAGAAACACAATCAGCATGTCCCGAAATATAATGAGACAGGCACCTGGGTCAGAGTTGGACTTGCAGGGAAGGCACCCTGGGGTCATCTAGCCAGGCTGCGGGAGGCCAGCTGGGTGCAGGGCTGCAGCTGGGAAGGAGTTCAAGGGAGTTAAGAAGAGGAGGAGTAAGATAGAGGAGGGACGCACAAAGGTATAGCTGAGAAACAGGGTTGTCACTATCAGACATCAAATGAAATCCAGTGGACAGTTGGCACCAGGACAGACACTCTGAGGAAACACAGGTCTGGGGACTTAATTCATCAGGGCCCCCAGTAACTATCACGTTATCCTTTTCATTTTCTTTATATGTAGCATATGCCACTCTCTGGGCTTTCATACGTATTATCTACCTTTCACCAAAAAGAAAGGTGATGAATGCAAGGACTTGGCTGACTTAGCTATTAAATCCCAGGACCTCGAGGAAGCCACTAAATGAATGAGTGGTTAAATAAGTGAATGAAACACAAGCAGAAGAATGGTCCAAGCAGAAAGCTGGGGAAGGACTTAGTGAAAGACAAGATGGAGAAGGGAGTCATATGGTAGATTTTGAAGACTCTTAGTAAACCTGTCAAGTTAAGGAGTCAGATCTTAAGCCTGAGGACCGATGGGCACTCCGGAAAAACTTAAGGCCCAGATGAGATTTACAATTTAGAAAGTACACTTTAGTGAGTGTGTAGAGAACAGATGGGAGGGGGACAAGAAGCAGACCCCTGAAGGAGGCTAAAGAAGCTGTTAAGAAGCTATCAAGCACATGTCCACACAAAGACTCGCAAGGAACGCTCACAGCATACTACTCATAACAGCAAGAGTGGAAACCAACAAATGTCTGTTTACTGGTAAAAGCATAAACAAAACATATATCCATACTATGGAATATAGTTCATCAGTGAAGAGACTAAAATTCACAAATTTGTAGCTGAGACAGCTACAAATAGGGATAGACCTAAGAAAATAAAATAAGTGAAGAAAGCCAGATAGGAAAGGCCACATATAACATCATTCCAAGGATACGCAATGCCCAGAGAAGGCAACTCTGTATAGACATGAAGTGGGTAGCACTTGCCCTACACTGGGGTGCAGATTAACTGTCTGAGTGTAAGGGATCTTACTGTGGTGATAAAAATGTTCTAGAGCTAAATGAAAGTGACGGTTGACCCTGCTAAATTTACTGGAAAATAAAATTTATACAGGAAAAACTGGGTTTTAACTATGTAACGATGCCACGGTAAAATTTCAAAAGAAAAAAAAAATAAGTAAGACTGTATTAATCCAAGGAGCATACATTCCAGGTAACTAAATTCACTGAGCACTGATGCTATGCCTGGCAAATATTTATTCATCTACTCCTTAAAATCCCATGAGATAGATACTTTCATCATCTTCCACTGATAGGTGAGAAAAAGGAAGGACAGTCAGATTCAGTAACTTGCCCTGGATTATAGATTATCAGCAGTGGGGCCAGGATTCAAACCCAGGAAGTCATCAAGGAGACCCGGGATTGGGGTGATGCTTATGGGTGACCCCACTCCTCTATCGTGAATGACCTTTTTCCATTATCTACTTCCTTGATGCCCCACCATCTGGTTTATAATCCAATACAGCAGTCTATGTTCTGATAAAAGTCACCAATCACCCAATAAACACCCTTTATCTTTCGACAGTCAGACCCCACTTAAAGTCATTGACAGATTCTTGGAGGCTGCAACTTTTGGTGACATGATGTATATAATGAATGCAGGTCCTCGAATAACATTCCTCAACATCAGCTGGGACTATTTATTTTCTCATCAATGTTATAAGAGATGATGAGTTCATTAAATGTTTCGGGATGGAAGAAATCAAGGGGGTGGGTGAGATTATCGAGAAGAGCATGGGGAATGAAGAGAGTGTGTAAAGGCAGAGGAGAGAATGCAGGACCCTCTCGCATTAGTGGGTGAGCCTGCAAATGAGAGGCATCTCCTGGAGTCCTGCGACAGTTAGGACAGTGGGGTGTCAGAAGGGACAAGCGAGAAGTTTCCAGAAGAGAAGGGTAACCAAAGTTGTGAGGTGCTGTTGCTGTGACCATCTCTTAACCTTTATGCCTACACGGCCTTCCCAGGCCCTCGGGCGGGAACTGCCTTTCAAAATTCAGTTCAGACATCCTAAAGCCTTCTCTGACCAAGGAGAAGTTCCCTTCCTTTAGCTCTGCCTACCCAGAGTCGCCCTTCCAGGTGCCCCCCAGGTCCCCAACACTCTACACACGTCTCCCATGTAGCCCTCTGGTCACAGAGCGAACACCTGCCTTTCTGCCCTTGCATGAAACTATGAGTGGCCATGTGCTAAAGAGCCATCCCCAGGCCAAGTAGGAACTAATACAGAGCTCAAGATAATTCGCAATTCAATAGGGATAGATCTAAAAAGCAAATCATAATAATAATAGGGATAGACCTAAAAAAAATTTAAGTGAAGAAAGCCAGCTAGGAAAGGCTGCATATTGCCTCATTCCATGGATGTGCCATGCCCAGAGAGGGCAATTCTATATAGACAGCAGGTGGGATGTACTTACAGCAATATATCAGGGAGCCAGTTTGTACCTGAACAGTCACTTTATTTCAAAACCCAAGGTAGAATAGAGATGAGATGGTAAAGGGGGAAACTGCAGCTCAAAAGTTGTGGATCTTGAGGAAGCCCCTGACTCCTTGGAAGCCAGAGGGAAGCCAGAGGGAGCGCCAGGGGACTTTCCACCTGAAGACAATGGGGCCAGCTACATCCTTTCTAAGAGACCATGGCCATTAAGATGGTCGCTGGTACTCTCTGCCAAGCTGAGAGACAGCTTAGGAAAAACCCATTAAGGCCAGCCCCTGCCAGCCCTCTCCACTCACAGATGAGAAAGAAGAGGTCAGGAAGTGAGTCTCTGGAAGCCGCCAGACAAGCAGTCACCTGCAAACTCTAGTCCCTGCCGTCTACTGTTAACAGTAACTTGTGTGCCTTTTACTCCATAGTAAGATAAAAATGTATCACTTCCTACAGAGGAGAGAAAAATGAGCCTTAAATTTATAATCTCAAAGCTACTTTAATTGATATAGAATATACATAACATTCATCCAGTGTCATGTAATATATACTAATATACAAAATATACTGTATTTTGAGGGTGCTATCCCATAAGTACAAATTACCTATCATGTTATAATTATTACATATAATGTACAGCATACATATTAATGTAATTTATGGGCAAAGCTGATTTGACATATAATCTAACATTTTGACTTTTAGTTCAGTATTTCAGGCCAATGTGCTAGACTAACAACCGCATAAATGTATTCTACCTAATCAGAAAGTATTTGCTCAAAAGCACATGGTAGCTACCAACCTCCACCCATATTGGAGATATTACTTATAAACACCACTTCAGGATGCATCAAGATGCATGTACCACTATTTTCTATTGCTGCTTTCCAAAGCAGGACTACAAAAAGCTCTTCCAAACTCCTAAAGCAATGTATCATCTCAAATGTATCATCTTTGAGAGAAGCGCAAAAAGCTAGCCCAGGATAGCAGAATAGCACTAACCACCAACTGCTACAGAACCCCAGGGAAGGTGCTTCCTTGGGCCTCAGCATGCTAACCTGTGTCAAGGAGCATTACAGGGACTTCACTGTAAGGGGCTATGCAAATACCCGGTAGTGCCACTCCCAACACAGCTCCAGTCGTTGGGACCTCACCTGTTAGTCTGCTTGGCTCTAGTGAACTCCGCCTGTTTGTATTGAGCACCCTGAAGACAGGGCCTGGACTAGAGCAACACACGCAAGCGCTTGTTCCTTATCTGTGCTCTTCGGCTAGTAAGAAATCTGTACCTTTCCAACCTAGTCATTAGTTGTTTCTAGTTAACTTTTTGTTGTTCTGTTTTATCTGATGGCTCCAAATTTGCTACTTAATGTCAAGTGTAATATCCCTTCTAACATTTCCTAAAGTGGCTACATTTCAGTAAAGTATAAGCCTATCCTTGCATGGCGTACAACTTATTTTTTGAACCAATAAACTGCTGTAGGGTTGCATTACTGGGACAGGTCCTAGCCATCATTCCTAAGTGTAACCCCAGGCCCTCCCCAAGAGCACCTGGAGAGCAGCCTACAGTCGCTTCTTTGCTGACTCTAGGTGCACTGCCCTCCCCCCCAGTCCTCTCACTGCCC